GAAATTGGCTTAGTGGTTTATGAGGAGATGTCATTAAAGTAAAAGTTTAAGGACGACGGACAGACGGACGCCGGATGGATGGACGCCGGACGAAAAGCGATCACAAAAGCTCACCCTGTCACAAAGTGACAGGTGAGCTAAAAATGCTATGCCACCACATTAATACAACACTAAATAGTAGTGTAGGAACAGATTTTTTTTGTGTCTATACAATTGAAGATTGTCATAATGCATAGATCCCTGACCTATCTAATTCTTATTATCAGATTAGTGGTTAAATCTATTGTTAATCCAATAAAAGATCAGATTAGGAATATATCAATGCACTTGAGTCTAGTGAATTTGGTGGAGAAGGTCATATTTCACACAGCCTAAATTTCATGACTACATCAAAGGACAACACACCAAGACACTTTGTCAAAATCTAGGTCAGCTGATATCAAAGTTCACTTTACATCTTAATCTGTGCACATGGTTCAAATTTCATAGCTGTACATCAAAGGACAAGAAAGTAGGTCACATCATCAAAATCTAGGTCACCTGATATCAAAGTTCAATTTTACACCTAAAACTGTGCACATGGTCAAAATTTCATTGCTGTACATCAAAGGACAAGAAAGTAGGTCACTGTCCCCTTGGGCAAGGCAAAATTTTGACCCAAGGGTTTAATTCAAAACAATCTTGATACAGGTCCACCAGTCAAATATCTAAGCTGTAGCTTTCTCCCATTCAGAAAACATTTGTTTTATTTTCTGTTTTTACTATGTGTACTTAATAAAAATCAATGACCCCCGGGGCGGAACCAATTTTGACCCCAGGGCTATAATTTGAACAATCTTGGTAGAGGTTCACTTCGCAAAGTCTCATGCAATATATTTAACCTCTAGCCTTTGTCAATTTAGAGATGAAGATTTTTCAAGTTTTTACTTTATACAAATAAGGAAAACTATCGCCTTTGGGGCAGGGCAATTTTAACACTAGGGGCATAATTAAAACAACTTTAGTAGAGGACCCATAGATGATATCATATACCAAATATCAAAACTCTAAGCCTTGTACCTTCAGACAAGAAGATTTTTTAATTTTTTACTATATGTACATAGTAACAAGAGCCACCGCCGGGCGGGGGCAACGCTCGACTTTTTACTTTTTCTAAACGCAAACATAGAAAGATATTGATGTTTCCTTTTTATAAATTTAGTTGGTCTGTTTTGTCACATTAGTTTTGTTTATATATTTTGTATATATATGAATAGAAACATTAAGCATATTTCTAAAAATAGCAACAGTACGCAATTTCTAAAAATAGCAACAATGACGCAATTTCTAAAAATAGCAACAATGACGCAATTTCTAAAAATAGAAAAAATGACGCAATTTCTAAAAATAGAAAAAAATGACGCAATTTCTAAAAATAGAAACAATGACGCAATTTCTAAAAATAGAAAAAAAATGACGCAATTTCTAAAAATAGAAACAATGACGCAATTTCTAAAAATAGAAAAAAAATGACACAATTTCTAAAAATAGCAACAATGACGCAATTTCTAAAAATAGAAAAAAGATGACGCAATTACTAAAAATAGAAAAAAATGACGCAATTTCTTAAAATAGAAAAAGATGACGCAATTTCTAAAAATAGGAAAAATGACGCAATTTCTAAAAATAGAACAAAAATGACTCAAATTCTAAAAATAGGAAAAAATGACGCAAATTCTAAAAATAGAAAAAATGACGCAATTTCTAAAAATAGAAAAACATGACGCAATTTCTAAAAATAGAAAAACATGACGCAATTTCTAAAAATAGAAACAATGACGCAATTTCTAAAAATAGAAACAATGACGCAATTTCTAAAAATAGAACAAAAATGACGAAATTTCTAAAAATAGAAAAAAATGACGCAATTTCTAAAAATAGCAACAATGACGCAATTTCTAAAAATAGAAAAAAAATGACGCAAATTCTAAAAATAGCAACAATGACGCAATTTCTAAAAATAGAAAAAAGATGACGCAATTACTAAAAATAGAAAAAAATGACGCAATTTCTTAAAATAGAAAAAGATGACGCAATTTCTAAAAATAGGAAAAATGACGCAATTTCTAAAAATAGAACAAAAATGACGCAAATTCTAAAAATAGGAAAAAATGACGCAAATTCTAAAAATAGAAAAAATGACGCAATTTCTAAAAATAGAAAATCATGACGCAATTATATACATGTATATATATGTATATATATATATATATATCTATATATATATATATATATATATATATACATGCATATATATATATATATATTTATATATATATATATATATATATATATATATATACCTGCATATATGTATATATATACACACACACATTTATATATATATTTATATATAATACATATACTATACATACACACACACCGATAAATGCACAATCTGAGAAAATTCAGTAATATAACCTTCAAGGTCAAGGTCATTAAAGAGCCCAAGCAAATTTGGGTTTGATAAACAACAAGGTCTGGTCCTTAAGAATGTTCTGTTATAATATGAAGTTTATCCCTTCAAAAAATAGCAAAGTTACAGTCAGTTACTGCCAAAACAATGAAAATTTCAATAATTTGACCTTCAAAGGCAATGTCATTAATGAGTGAAGGTCAAGGTCTTTCGGTATATTTTTAACAGTTATCTTTGAAGATTATTATGTTCAAGTTTGAAGACAATCCATTCAAAAATAACAAAGTTACAGCCAATAATATCCAAAAAAATGAAAATTTCAATAATTTGACCTTCAAAGTCAAGGTCATTGATGAGTGAATGTCAAGGTCTGACTGGTTATTTTTAAGGGATATCCTTGAAGATTATTATGTTCAAGTTTGAAGACAATCCATTCAAAAATAACAAAGTTACAGCCAATAACAGCATGAACAAGCAAAAATTGGACTTTTAACCTTGAAGGTCAAGGTCATTTATGGCTGAAGGTCAAGGTTAGTGTGGTCTACTGAAAGGTCTTGTCCCAAGGGTTGTTGTGGCCAAGTATGAAGACAATACACCAAGAAATAAAAAAGTTATGATCCAGGTACAAGTTTTCGGACGGCAACGGCAACGGCAACGGAGACGGCAACGGCAACGGCAACGGCAACGCCGACCTGACTATAACAATACCTCTACTTTTTTTTTCAAAAAAAAAAAAGTCGAGCTAAAAATGAATGACCCCTGGGGGGGGGGGGGGGAGCAATTTCGACCCCAGGGCTATAATTTGTACAATCTTGCTAGAGGTTCACTACATAATGTTTCATGCAAAATATCTCAACTCTAGTCTTTGTAAATTTGTAAATTTAGAGAAGATGATTTTTTAAGTTTTTACTTTATACATATAAGGAAAACCTATGGCCCCTGGGGCTGGGCTAATTTTGACACTAGAGGCAAAATTTGAACAACTTTGGTAGAGTACCTATAGATGATATCATTTAACAAATATTAAAGCTCTAAGCCTTGTACCTTCAGACAATAAGATTTTTTTATTTTTTACTATATGTATATATTGAAAATCAATTACCCCCGGGGCGGGGGCAATTTTGACCCCAGGGCTATTATTTGAAAATCTTGCTAGAGGTTCACTACACAATGATTTATGCCAAACATGTAACCTCTAGCATTTGTCAATTGCTAGAAGAAATTTTTTTAAAGTTTTTACTATAAGTTTTTACTATATAATATAAGGAAAACCAATGACCCCCGGGGTGGGGCCAATTTTGACCAAGGGCTATAATAACAATCTTGGTAAGGGTCTACCAGACAATGCCTTATGCAAAATATCTAAGCTCTAGGCCTTTTCGGTCTTTACAAGAAGGTATTTTAAGTTTTTACTATATGTACATATAGTGAAAATCAATGACCCCCGGGGCGGGGCCGATTTTGACCCCAGGGCTATAATTTGAACAATCTTGGTAAGGGTCTACCAGACAATGCCTTATGCAAAATATCTAAGCTCTAGCCTTTTTGGGTCTTTACAAGAAAGTATTTTAAATTTTTACTATATGTACATATAGTGAAAATCAATGACCCCCGGGGCGGGACCGATTTTGACCCCAGGGCTATAATTTGAACAATCTTGGTAGAGGTCTACCAGACAATGCCTTGTGCAAAATATCTAAGCTCTAGGCCTTTTGGGTCTTTACAAGAAGAATTTTTCAATTTATTCTTATAATTCCTTTTGGTTGCCATGGCAACCAGATTTCTGCATGGAATGAAATTCTTTGAACAGCTTTGGAAGCCCTTCACCCAAGGATCAATCATGCCAAGTTTGGTTGAAATTGGACTAGTGGTTTTTTAAGTTCAAGATCAAGATAAGAAGATTTTTTAAGTTCACTATATAATCTATAGAACACATACACACACAAACACACACACAGGTGAATCGCTATATGCCACTGCATCGCAGATGCTGCGGTGGCATAAAAACAAAACAAATTAATTGTTCGATAGCTTTATATTATTGGTGGCCTGTTATATACCGGTATTCCAAAAAGTTCCTAATTGGCAACAAGACATCTTTTGCTTCTTTTGTGTTTTAGAAGCATAGTTAGAGTGATTTCCTAGAGGTATGGAAGTCAAAATACCATTTTGTTTACATTTTGATTTCTTCATTACAAATTATTTCACACTCTACACTGCTTTCTTTAGGTAATAAGCATCTAACATGTTCTAAATCCATTAAATATTGCAACATAATTAAACATATGTTTGTACTTTCTACAGAAAGACATAATTATCATTTCTGAGACTTAATGTGCCCTTAAGCTCATTTATTTTCTTTATAAGTTATTTAAATACTATATAATTGATTTTACCTATGAATTTATGTAAAAGATTTGCTATGCCTGTACATTTAAGCAATTTAAACATCAAAATACAAAGACTGAGCTATCAACAATATAGAGTCTGGTTAGACTATGGATGGGCAGACTAGTCTGACACTATACTTATGGCATTAAAGATAATCAATTTCAGTTCCAGCATGTTAAGGTTTTAAGAATTTTAGATTTCAAGAAGATTTTTCCCATGATATATGATCTTGGTAAAGCTCAAATAATCATATAATTACCTTGGATAATTTGAAGGTGACTAAGTTATAGCTTCCAGAACTGATTGAATCTGAAATGAAAATACATATGTTGTAAAACACACGTTGTCTGTAAAGCATTCACAAGTTGTAAAACAAGGGGGACTCACTGTTATTTGTGTGAAAGCAGTGAAAGTTAGTGTTTAATACAAGAATTTGAACGATGTTGGTCACTAAACCATACTCCATGCAAAATGCATTTTTTAATAATACTATAAAGAACCCCAAATATGAGTCATATTTTTATATTACGTAATGCAATTATTTTGTACATTTTGTATACATATTTTACTTGTTTGTATTTTTTAATTTAAACCTTTAAATAACAATGTGTTTTTATAGTAAACACTTCTTCAAACTTTGGGATAGAAACCATCATTCTTAACATGTCAAACAAACTTAAGATATTATTAATTCTAACATGACCCGCATTTTTCCCTATTTAACAAAAAAGAACCGAAAGTGTGTTATTATGCAATAAAATCACAGTTTGTCGTTCTATATTTAGACATGTGACATAATCATTCTACGCGTGACGTAACCACTAAAATTGTGACGCGCTTAAAATAAGTACGGAAACAAATCAGGAGCAATTTAGCTTAATATCAGGTACGGCAGCATTTATTTGTTGATGTTGTGTTAGAATCGAAATAGTATATTCAAATCAGTGATTTTATCGCAAGGTAAAATCACTGTTTGTCGTTTGGATGCACATTATGATATAATTCCTTGCATCCGAACTCCAAACAGTGATATTATTGAGCGATAAAATCACTGTTTGGGATATATTATTTCTTAAATAAACAGATTTTGCTTAAGGCTAGAAAGCACTTTAGGTCTTTTGAACACTTTTCTTTGTTTAACAGATACACTGTTTTTTTATAGAGTAAATAGAAACAAATACAGAATAATAGATGAGTAAAATATCACAGCTTTGTTTCCTTCTAAGTTTTTGACATGCATAACTTCAAAGTGAGAACCCATTATGATTAATTAATTAATTCTACTTTTCAAAGAATTCCAAAACATACATATAAAGAGACAGTTAGGTTAGACAATCATAATTTCTTGGACTGTCTAAAATAAAGGATATTTTGACTTATACTGTCTATGTGTTTTTCTACAGACTGTAAACAAAATAAAAATTTTCCCCTAAGACAGACTGTTTGTTCAAGATTGGTGGAGAATAGAACAGGGTAATGTCAACACCTGTGAATCGTTATTATCATCTTTGGTCAACGGAACAGGAAGGGACCTCCAAAGATCCATATGAATCAAACTTGGCGCTGAGTGACCACAAAGATAACTTCTTGCCTGAAGAGAGCAATACTGATTCATTGTTGAATTTTACATACTCGACATTCCCAGTATGTATGGCATCACAGATTCACATGCCCTATTTCCATGGCAACCCTGGAGAATGTGCAACAAATTGGCTTTAATGGTTTGAGAACTATTGTGAAGTAAATGCCGTAGCAAGAGATAAAAGAGCTAGACTCATTACTTTTTACTTGAGAGACCATGCACTGGCTTGGCTACACATGCAGTCTGATGTGGTGACATCTGACCTTATCAATTATCAGCAGCTCAAAGGTAGTGATGGCCTTAATCCTGATATGGCCCTATTCAACTTGCAGCAACTGCCAGGTGAAACCACAGCATCCTACTTCACTAGGCTTTACCAAACAATAGCCAACAAACAGAATCCTGAAGGTTTACTTATTACTTTAACTTTAAAAGGCTTATCAAATAGTGTGAAACAAATTGTAATGCCACAAAATCACTGTGAGTGAGGACACTTGAAGATATGCAGAAGGCCTGCAGCCTTGCTGAACAAACTTTAGCAGCTTCAACCATTCCAGTGACAATAACACCAGTGGCTGCCACAGAAATCAGTGGCAATATCAATGAACAATTGTGTGCTATAAATAAGAAACTAAGATCTTGAGCTCAAACAGACTTATAATCAAACATGGAGTAGACGATGGCACCAGAGACAACAGAACCTGCATCAACAAGAAGCGCCGCAATGCGACTAAAACCAGGTTTCCAACGACCAAGTTTTGATGTGACAGCAATCAATAGGTCAAAGTGCACTGAAGTTATTGAGTAAAAGCTGAAAACTCTATTGTAAGCAAATGACCCTGACCATGCTCCTAGATATCTAAGTGGCAATCCAAAGCTGTCACACAGCAAGTTTGGTGTCAAAAGGTCAAAGCAAACTGAAGTTATTACGTGAAAACTGAATACTTAACCTTGATCACAGACACCTAGGTAGAAATCCCAAGCTGTTTCTTGATATAACCTACCCATAAACCAAGTTTGGTGTTAATAGGCCAAAGCAAACTCAAGTTATTGAGCTTAAACTGAATTTCCCTTTTTGTAACAGTGACTTTGACCTTGATGACAGACGCCTGGGTAGTAATCCCACGCTGCCTCTTGATATAAGCTATCCATACACCACGTTTGGTGTCAATAGGCCAAAGCAAACTCAAGTTATTGGCTGACACTGAATTTCTATTTTTAGTAACAGTGACCTTGACCTTGATCACAGACACCTGGGTAGCGATCTCAAGCTGCCACTTGATATATACATACACCAAGTTTGGTGTCAATAGGCCAAAGCAAACTCAAGTTATTGAGCTTAAACTGAATTTCTATTTTTAGTAATAGTGACCTTGACCTTGACCACAGACACATGGTAGCAATCCCAAGCTGCCTCTTGATATAAGCTATCCATACACCATGTTTGGTGTCAATAGGCCAAAGCAAAGTCAAGTTCTTGAGCAGAAACTGAATTTCTATTTTTAGTAACAAAGACCTTGACCTTGATCACAGACGCCTGGGTAGCAATCCCAAGCTTCCTCTTGATATAAGCTTTCTTTACAACAAGCTTTGTGTCAATAGGCCAAAGCAAACTAAAGTTATTGAGCGGAAACTGGATTTCTATTTTTTGTAACAGTGACCTTGACCTTGATCACAGACACCTGGGTAGCAATCCCAAGCTGCCTCCTGATATAAGCTTTCTTTACAACAAGTGTGGTGTCAATAGGCTAAAGCAAACTCAAGTTATTGAGCGGAAACTGGATTATTTCTCTTTTTATTAACAGTGACCTTGACCTTGATCACAGACACCTTGGTAGCAATCCCAAGCTGCCTCTTCATATAAGCTACCTACACACCAAGTTTGGTGTCAATAGGCCAAAGCAAACTCAAATTATTGAGCAGAAACCAAAAGTTGTGATAAAGTCACAGATAGGCACCATAATAGTTTAGGTATCAATAATGTCAAACAGAACACAGCCATTACTTGTAAAACCAGTACTAGAGAAATTGATGATACTTCTGTCAAATCTTTAGGTGATAAACAATTAGATGAAAGTTTAGCGTCTGCCCAACCAAAATCTTCTGGTAAATTGAACTCTACTGTTACAGATGTGAACTTTGCAGTCTCAGTACATCGAAATACAATAACATTAGAAATAAATGGCAGAAAAACAAATCCTCTTATAAATTCAGGTGCAAGTATAAGCTGCATAATAAAAGTCATTTTTATATAGTTATTTCAAATCTAAAAACTATGAAATCACACGTTCAAAATTAACTCAGATAGTTGGAGTAGGTGGTGAACATCATTCGGTACTAGGAGAAACAAAAATTTGATAGATTTTCAGGCTTAAAACTTGAGCAAACTTTTACTGTTTTGGAAAGTTTACATCATCCTGTTGTCTTAGGCATTGACTTTATGGCAACACGAAAGTGAAAATAGACTTCCATCACAATATTATGTCTTTGTAAGATGACACTGTTAATGTTGCTTTGGCTCGAGACAGCAAATCTGGTTATGCTAGGTGTTTAAAACCTGAAGTCATACCCCGCAAATTCAGAAATTCATGTAAATGTTAGGATCACAAAGGGCAATCAAAATTACTTGAACCTTCTCTAAGTCTGAATACAATAAATCTTGTAGGTGCTACTGGTGCTTAGTTCAAACAAATAATCATGAAGCTGTTTTAAAACTTGCCAATCCTACCAATATTGAGATTCAAATTTCTCCTAATAGAGTTCTAGCCACAGTTAATGATATTGAGAATCCTCAAGTATACGAGGTATGATAAAAAAAGTTCTCGGCCCGATATACTTATAGACACTACACTGACATTTACACACTATACGTCGATACAGATATCTTATTGAAGTTTGCTGACCGAGTTACACAAGGTTTTACACAGATTAAGTAACATAAAACACACTGATCAGTAGAGGGGTGTGTCATTTATACCAAATGAAGAAAGTTGAAATCAGAGCCGTCATTAAGTACCTCTGTAAGAAAACTTCATGGATACACTTTGGAGATGATCAGCGGCCTGGGTGGCCAAAATAGGCCACCAACGATGAAACTGCCGAAGCTGTGCACGATCAGGTCATGTGCGACAGAAATGTGCGACAGAAGGCCTGACCTGCGAAGCATTGCTAGGGAAATTGGTATAAGCTTTAGTTCAGTTCAGGCAATTCTGACTGATGTCTATGTTATGTCAAAGGTTTCCGCTAGATGGGTCCCCAGACAGTTGACTGTCAACCAGAAACGAACCAGGCTTGACATTTCAAGATATTTTTTGTCTCGTCAGAGGATGAACATGAATTTATCTTCCGGATCGTAACACAGGATGAAACATGTATCCAGAATCCAAACAAGAGGGCCATGATGGCGCTAAGTCACTCACCTGTATATAGGCTCCCGGGGCGTGGCCAATTTTTCCCAGGGCTTTTATTTGAACAAACTTGGTAGACACTCACTAGAAGATATTTCATGTTCAGTCTCTAAACTCTAGCTCTTTGTTTTTTTATGCTTAGTCTCTAAACTCAAGCTCTTTGGTTCTTTTATTAGGATTTTTTTAAAATTTTCGAAACACATATAAAGAAAATCAATGACCCATCCCCCCGGGCAGGGCCAATTTTAACCAAAGGGCCCTCATTTGAACAAAAATGGTAGACACCCATTAGAAGATGTTTCATGCTAAATATCTAAGCT